CCCCCCTGCAACGTCAAATACATTGACCTCCAATACCTTGCTCTACTGCAAGACACACGAAACGATTGGTCATCCTGCTAGAATAACGCGTGAGCCGTAAAAGGAAAGTAACTTTACTTATAAAGGTCTACGACGCCCCCTAATCTCCTGTAAAAGGTTGCAGCCCCCGTAACCCTTGTCCCATCCATCATCCATCAAAATCCACGAGGCACGTGCATCACTCACGGAGGCTGACTGCCACTCATCCCTTCTAGCACATCACCCACCCCCAATTTCACATCCAAAAGTGCACAAAAATTCCGCCGAGGCCGGTCACGGCGCATAAGAACACAACGACAAACAAACCCAACCAATCCAAAAAGTGCTTCCGCCTGCTGTGTACAAAAACACGAACGGAAAATTCACAAATCGAGTCTCGACGCCGCGAACTTTGCGGAGATCCAAAGGCCGGCCGGCGCAAAGGCTCCAAGGAGGAGGGACACCATTTATATTCTGCTTTTCTTTTTCTCTAGTCCTGGTCTGACTGTCTACACGCCCTCGATCTTGTCCTCAACCTCCTGGTACAAGTCCTGGAGGAGCTCGATGTTCTCTTCCGAGGTCTCCCAGTAACCTCGCCCGTTCGCCTCCAAGAACGTGGTCACCGTGTCCCTGGAAAAGCACAGCAACGGGAGGGGGGGGGGGGGGGGGTGTTACGGAGCGGACAATAACTGCGGAGTGAGACAATGGAGGGGATAGAAATAGAGAAAAAACGAAATGAAATTTTACAATTTGCTTTATTAGATTCAATATTAGGGATTTTAGATGAAACAGATTCAGGTCTTGATATTGATGCATTAAAATCAATTTCTAAAACAACTAATATATTAATGGAAAATAAAAATAAAAGTATAATTCTTATTACCCACCATAAAAGATTATTGGAATATATAAAACCAGATTTTATTCATGTTATGCAAGATGGCCAAATTGTTAAAACAGGTGATAATGACTCTCACTGTAGTGTTGTAAAACGTGCGCAAAAGAAAAAGACAGCGGTGACGGTACGGGGGCGGCATGCTCAACCGTCCGCGAAGGTTATGCCTCCACATGACAATCATCACAAAAGGACACACGAACGACGAGGCTTGGGGTTCGAGTGCACGGGGCGGGAAAAAAAGAGAGGACCAACTCACCGGAACGCGTTGGGGTTGAGGTTCATGAGGCGGTCCCTCATTTCCTCGTCCTTGATGAACACGTCGTTGGCGTCCTCGAAGATGAAGTTGTCCACCTCGCCCGCCGTCGCCGCCCAGCCCATGGTGTTCCGCAGGCGCTTGGTGATCTCCCTGGTCCCCTCGTACCCGGAGGCGAGCATGCCCTCGTAGAACTTGGGGTTGAGGAGCTTGGTGCGCGCGTCCAGGCGGACCGTCTCCGACAGCGTCCGCACCTGCGCGTTGGCGGTGGTGGTGTCGGCCATGAAGGACGACGGCTTCTTCTTGTCGTCGCGGAGGCTGGACACGACCTTGGTCGGGTCCGAGTCGTAGTAGTGGCTCACGTCGGTGAGCGAGATCTCCGAAGAGTCCAGGTTCTGGAAGGTGACGTCCACCGTCTTGAGCGCCATCTTGAACTTGTCCGTCTGCTGCTCCATCATGCCGGGCTTGTCGGCGTTGAAAGCGAAGCCCTTGCGGCCCACGAACTGCTCCTGCAGCTGCTCCTCGCCCTCCCAGCCACCGTTCTCGATCGCCAGGCCGACGTTGGCCGAGTAGGACCCCGCCGCGTTGGAGAAGACGCGGGTGGCGGCGTCGCGGACGGAGAGGCCGAACTCCTCCGCCTGCTCGAGGGCGTGCTTGCGGACGAAGTTCATGTCTGCGGGCTCGTCGGCCTCGGCAGCCATCTTGATCTGTTTGCGGCGGTGGTCGCGAGGACAGGAAAAAAAAAAAAAAAATGGACATGAGACACGTGTTCCTTCCCGTGCACTACACCCTGAGCGAGAGGACAGGACCTTTCTTGACTTGGGGAATCCATGCACTCCAAAACGTTTACTGGAACTTGCGAAAAAAAAAAAAGAGGGAAACTTAGCCCTAGAGAATCATACATTTGATTCTCTCTCAAAGGCCACTCACGGAACGGGCAGCGTTTGGGAATTTCGAGGAGTGCCAGCACACAGCGCAGCACACAGCGCAGCCGTGCGCTGCTAGCACTTCTCAAACGCTGCCCGGTCGGGAGCGGTCTTTGAGAGCATCAAGGTAACAACAACGGTCCTTGAAAAATCAAGCTCACAATAACCAACACACGAGCCATTTGCGACAATCTTGAGCTACCGATAGCTGCAAGGCTTGAGCTGGCTACTAAGCTGGAGCTCGCCGATGCATCAAAATGGATGATCATCTCGTCCGTGGTGTTCTACCGGATTGCGTCGCCTGCAAACAACATGGTGAACGCGGTAAACCAATCGAGCTCAACAGAAAAGGCTTGTGAACGACGCACAGACCGCCCGCCGCCCAGCCAGCCACACGGGCCATCGTGGGATAATCGGATCTCTGTGCCCGTTTACGCCACTCCCGTTCTTAGCCCTCAACTGTTTCTCACGCGGTCGCCAGGCGAAAATGATTGAAACACCAAGTATAATAGCAGCAAAGAACGTGAACTCTCTCAAGGCCAAGAGGAATTTGCTTTGCCACTCACTCCTCTGTCGAGCAAGTTCATCTGGTTGATGAAGAGATCGCGGAACACGCCGGAGCATGACACCACCACGTCCACGCGGGGACGGCCGAGCTCCTCAAGCGGGATGAGCTCCAGCTTGTTCACGCGGCCGATGGAGTCGGCGATGGGCCTGACACCGGCGAGGCAGAGCACCTGGGCGAGCGACTCTCCTGATGATCGCATGCAGAGGCGAAGGAGGGGGGAGCAGCAAGCGGGGATGTGGGGGTGGGGGTGAGCGTTGTGTAATGGAGTTGGTTTTTATTTTTGTTGTCTGATCCAACACGGCGGGACAGCTGCGGACCAACGACAAGTGACAACGTCTCCCTGAAAACACAACAACAACGCGCTTGTGGGTGTCCAGCAATATTGATTTACGTGTTCACATGCCTTACGCCGCGGGTCGGCACGCCGGCCCAAAAGCCCAGGACAGCCCCAAGTCTCACCGTAGGTCTTGATGTTGTCCGTGCCCCACAGGGTGAACGCCACCGTCTCCGGGTACTCGCCGTCCTGCTCCGCCGAGAGCCTCTCCAGGAGGCGGTCCACGACCACCATTGCGCAGTCCACGGCCGCCTTGGTCGGGATAGACTGGGGGTCGAGAGCGTGCATGTTCTTGCCGGTCGGGAGCACGTCGGGGTTGCGGATGGGGTCGCCGCCGGGGCCCGGGGGGATGTACTCGCCGTTCAGAGCGCCGAGGAGTCCGCCGAGCTCGTTGTCGGCGACCACCTTCGAGGCGGTGGGAAGGGGGCGGGTGGGGGGTGAGTTCGAACCCTGTGCACTTGACGGTAGCCACTGTTCGGCAAGGATACTATGGCACGAGATGAAAGCTAAACACAATGCGCCCGGCGTTGCTTGCCTAGTAACAAAGTGAAGCAGCAACAGGTGCGAATCCAGCCTCGGCAGCGCTGCTGCTGGGAGCCTCAAAATGTACGCGCGACCTTCACCTGCTTGAGGCAGAACTCGAGGTAAGTGAACACGGGCTCCAGGTCAGCGTCCTTGCACCCCTTGAAGCCGAACTGCTCGAGGGCGGCCTTCATCGGGCTGCTGCCACCGGCTGAAGAAACGTTGACAGAAGTGAGCGTGAGTAGCCGCGCAAGGACGTGCGGCGGAAAGGAAGCTTGCGTCAGGGGAAGTTCGTGACAATTCGTTCGGGCTATAGTAGATCGGCTATAGATAGGACGACGAGCACGAGACTCGGCAGACATCAGTCGACCAAAAAAAAGACACGACATACATTCTCAAAAGCAACCTCGGTGCTTTCATACGAGCTCACCAATACGAAATAACTTTCCGAAGGCCCATCCTCCTTTCCCTGTGATCTTGGCGCAAACACAACCATCCGTGTGGCAACCATCCGCGTGGCTGCAAGAACAAAGAGGTTCGCCGTGTATTTTAGTTATACTCACAGACAGCCTTGCTGAAGAAGTCGGCGAAGGGGTTGACCTCCACGATGCGTCCCTCCGAGTTCGTCGAACGCTCGACGCACGCCAGCACGGCCGCGCGGCACGCCTCGGTCACCTTCCGGTAATTACATCAGGCCCGCACCACACACACGTCAGAAAGGAAGGAACACGGTTCTAGGAGGACCATCCATGCGGACGACAGGTAATGGATGGAACACCGGCCTACCAACAATTCCAGGAGGGGAAGACAGGCAGGGGTGGGCTCGTAACACCGCAAAAGTAGTCGTCTTGTCCTACCTTCCTCGAAGTGCTGTCAGACGAAGCCCCAAACCTTTCAAATTGTCAAATATTTCACGATGGCCGTTCTATTCCTTGGAGAAGGCCAAGACTGAAAAACGCACATACATGCCATGAGCCCCGCGCTCACATGGCCCCAGATCACGACCTTACAAAGCGTCCTGTGTTTTTCGCCGCGCAGAGACTCTGACATGGTTAGTTGGTCGGCCAGTCCTAACAAAATTTTGGTCCACGCTGGATAAAACAACACAAAAACCTTTCCATCACCTGCTGCAGGAGCTGAACGTCGTCGAGGTCTCCGTTGTCGGCGTTCGTGTAAATCTCCCCGATCTCGCGCCCCATCGACTCCGCGGCGATGCGAGGCAGCGACTTGATGCCGTCCTCCGGGCGGTCGAGCGACGCGATGTTGACCAAGGTGGCCACCGCCTCCGCCGACGTGGGGGGAACGCCGACGGTGTGGAGGCCGCAGGGGAGCAGGCGGGACTCGATCTCCATGAGGCGGCGGTAGATCTTGCCGATGATGTTGTCGCGCTCCTGTACGAAACGCCGCCGAAGTAGAGAGAGAGAGAACGAAGCCACGGATGTAAAATACCGGCGTTTCGAGTCAGTTCAAGTGCTCCAGGCAATCGATCGGGTCCCAGCAAGAAATCATCGACGGCAAGCTTAAAGCTTAAACGTATTGGTCTTGGATCGTCAAAGAACCAGCAACAAAAGCCGACGAGACTACAACAAAACAAGTCTGATTCGTACTTCCACCTCCTTCACCAACTGTCAATCGAAACCCTCCAACGCACCATTCGTGCGCGATCGCCATGGGCCGCAAGACGAACGGCAACCCAACGTTCCGCCACCAGTACGCCAACAACGACAACGATAACGACGACACACTGTACCCACCTCGATGGTCATCAACTTGGTGTCGGTGTCGTCAGAGGGGAGGTCCTTGATGTCCTTGTCAAGGTTGCACGTTCGGGCGCACGCGATGGAAGCGCTGACGATGGAAGGGCCGCGAGCACCGTTGTCGCGGAGGCCTTGGTACGAAGACACCAGCTCGTTCAGCTCCTTGAGGCCCTGAAGCAAGGAAAGAGTGCGTGTGTTTCATGTTATCGACATGGGCGGGGAGGTTGTTTTTTCTCATCTCGTCACGGAAGTATGTACGTTCGACCATATTTCTGACGGCTGTACGGTGGTTCACATCGACAAACTTCAATCCCAAAAAATGCTGTAGCAGCCGTTGGAGACCTCCCCATGCATGTACACGCCCGGTTTCGTACAGAACATGGCAACCAAAAACACAGCATCTACATATCCAGGCATGTCCTTGGCAACAATTGCCTGAAACCTCCCCACTGCTACCAGCCAGCCAACACCCCGCAGTGTAGCGTGCCTCCCATGTACCAAAGACAGTTCCTTTACCTTGTAGAGACCAGCGTTCTCGGCAGGTGGGGTGAGGTACGAGATGGTCGCGGCGTACGAGCGACGCTTGGCGATGGTGGCCTCCGAAGGGTTGTTCGCCGCGTAGTAGTAGATGTTGGGGATGGAGTTGATCAGGCGGTCCGGGTAGCACGCGCCGGACATGCCGACCTGCTTGCCGGGCATGAACTCGAGGGAACCGTGGGTGCCGAAGTGGAGGACCGCGTCCGCCTTGAAGATCTTCTCGAGGTACGTGTAGTACGCCGCGAACCCGTGGTGGGGGGAGGCGGACTTGGAGAAGAGGAGACGCATCGGGTCGCCCTGGTAAAAAAACAGCAGTGGGAACGCGAGCGAGGCCGCAAGGGCGGGAGAGGTCAGTCACAGGTCGTGCGGAAAAACGATTGCAACGAGTGTGATTGCTCTTTTTCAGTGATGAGCTGCATGGAACAAGAACCGTTCACGCCTGAGGTAGGCGAGGAAGTCACAGACGCGGCGAATGCCTCAAGTCCCACCATTGCAGTCCAAAAGCAGTCCAAAAGCGTGGACAGGCTGGAATGTCCGTGCGTTCAGCCCTCCGTTCGACAGTAGAGGTTTACAATGACCCAAAAACTACGAAAGCCCACCGTGACCGAAGCAAGCTTCGCAAGACACCGAAGAAAGCTCCACAAGACAAGACCAAAACAAAAAATAAAAAAAAACGGCACCGCCCGTACCTCGTATCCGAAGGTGGGCTGGACGCCAATGAAGACGTTCCCGAACTTGCACCCGAACACGAGGAGGTTTTGGCCGTCCGAGTTTAGGTGGCCGGGAGCCTTGCCCCAGTTCTCGACGAGGTCCCCGGCGTAGGGGGTGAGCTCCTCGTACTCCTGGACCGACATGCGGTACTCAACGTTCATCTCGGGGGAGTCGATCCTGCCCAAACGTCGGGCGTGAGTGGAGACAGGCAGGGGCAACGATCGTAGAGCAAGGGTAAGGAGAAGGTCGAAACAAAAAACAATTGAGCGCCTGCAAACGGGCACATGCAACAGCCAAATACACACACCGCTTTCGACTACTCGTCACGTTGTCCGCAAAGCAAATGCTCAGGGGCCTCAGCTACGGGTAACCTCTTGGACGTTGTGTGAAACGGTCCGCTCTGTCGAGGAAACACGAGTATTTGTGGCTCGTCACAGGGCAGTGCAATGACTAAAAAAACGAGTAGAAGGCAGGGTTGGGTTTTCTCACCTGGCCTCCGGGTCGTTGAGGATTCGCTCCATCAGAGCACGCGAGTCGTCGGGCAGGTCTCCGACGTCGTACCCCTGTTACCGCAGGAGCACCAACAATCGACAGCGACAAGACGATGGTGAGGTTTTCCACACTACACGTCAGCTCGGCAATCCTACACTACACTACAACAATCGCGAGTCGTCGTCTCTCGAAACGCGACAACGAAGAATTGCACCACCCGAAAACCCAAAACGCTGCCGCGGCCAAGTTTCCTCCCGGTGATCAAACCTAACCTCATCTACCATTGTTCGCTTTTTCGGAGAATCTCAGCACTCACTTCCTTCTTGAGCTTGGAGAGCACGGTGTGGATAGAGCCGAAGACGTCAAGGTAGGCGGCGGTGCCGACGTTGCCCTTGTCCGGGGGGAAGCTGAAGATTGTCACGGCCAGCTTCTTCTCCGCGTTCTTCTTGGCTCGGAGGTTGGCCCACTGCACATCAAAAAAAAAAAAAAAAGAGGATCGGTGAGCATCCGCAGCAAGGAGGGTGAGCGTGACTGTTGAGTGCTGTGTCATTCGCTAATACGTTTCGTTCGTCCTGCTCGAGAGCGTTCCTGTATCGGACATTTTCAAAAGAAAACAGAACCCCAACACCACACGTCAGTCTTCGAAAGGTTTCAGCACCAACAGCATCCTCGACGGCGGCAAGGGACACGAGACTAAGTGTGTCTATCTACCTTGAGGGCACGGTCAGCAACGAGCTGCACGCGGTCCGAGAGGGGGACCGAGCGCCCGGTGGCGCCCTCGCGCCCGGCGTAGATGATCGGCTCGATGGCTCCGTCGATCTCAGGGAGAGACACCTGCGCGTCAGCAGCAGCAGCAGAAGACACGAAAATGCCAAGAGAGGTTGGTGGAATGGAAAATACACACGATACTGTAAGCATCGTCACGTCATGCAATAGCGCGGGGCAGATAAAAAAACGAGGCTCGCAACAACGCGGCTTACATAGGCCATTCCAATGTCAACCTGGAAGGATCATTCGCCTTCGCCCTTAAAACAAACACCATATCTTGACACGAGCAGCCTCGTGTACCCCTCCCCGCAAAAAAGAAAAAGAGTTACAGAAAAATTAAAAATGGCCGTTTATGCGTGCACAAGAGCCTTGGTGGATACCTGCAGGGCGACTTGGATGGGGTGCAGGCCGAGCTCGGACGCCTGCCACTCCTCGAACGACTGGAACACCAGAGGCACGGTGCACAGGTACGGCACGTTGAGCTTCTCCAGCGTGGACACCGCCTTGGCGTGGTCCTGGCTGGCGGGCCCCCCGACGAGCGCGAATCCGGTCAGGTTGATGCAGGTGTCGACGACGGACTTGCCGTTGGAGATGAAGTACTCCTCCACGGGGCCGGAGAAGTCCAGCCCACCGGTGTAGAGAGTCATCACCTGCGGGGGGGGAACGCAATCGTCGTCGCCGGTGTGAGTCAACACAAAAAAAAAAAAAAACATTCGACAGTAGCACGTGAGCGTAGTACAACACAACGTCTTGCTCATCTGACGAGACGGAACAGAACGAAGCGAGCTACAACCGTTTTGCCGCCTTGTAACCCGAGCAGTCATCAGGCGCGAACGCCGCGCACACAAGCACGCCAAGAAACCGGATTAACCGTCAATCAAAGCAGTAGAGTCGTACTGGAAACCCAACGCCGGCCGGGTCAAAAAAACGGGAACACTTTCTTCACCTTTGCGCCGCGAGCCTCGAGTTCGGCGACGAGAGCGACGTAGTGGCACTCGTCCTTGGTATTGATGTGGCTCTTCTGCAGCACCAGGCCGACCACGGGGGCCTCGGGCTTGATCCCGGCCGCCGGGGCGTGTTCCTGGCAGCAAAAACGAAGACAGCCAAACAAAACGTCACAGGTTTTGTATACAATCAGACAAAAAACAAAAAAAATCATGCGCACGGCGCACCGTTGAAGAACGGGCATGCATGCCTTCGATCGTGACCGAAATACTGTTCCATCACAATCAGCAACACCCCCCGTCGCCTCCAATGGCGTCAAAACCAACGCTCCCAGATGTAGTACCGCGTTAGCGTCAGAGTAAAAGGCGTCAAGTTTCGGCAGCAAAGAGACTTGGCCATTAATCCATGAATCAGAGACGCATGAATTATGCATACCTTGTTGTACCAGGAGAGGTACTCGTCGGCGTTCTCGAACACCTTGTCCGCGACGGGGTGCCAGATGCCCTTGTCGGGGAGGAGCACGGGCTCGGCGATATCCTTCTCCTTGACGGTGTCCATCTCCCTCACCTCCGGCACGTAGGATTTGGCCAGGGTCAGCAGCAGGCTCTCCACGTTCTCGGGGGAGCCACCCAGCCAGTACTAAAGTAGCGCCACGCACGCACAGCCAGTAAGAGGAACATGCAACAGCAATCACGAGACAACAACACCGCCGTGTGCATGTGGGAAGTAGGGGCGGAGTTCAAAGCAGGCACACAACGCGCGCGGACGAAGCACATGCCTTTCCAAGTCTTCGATACCTTAGCGCAAGTGATTCCGCGGTCTACCAGATTGTACCGTACAATTTGCCCGGAGGGGCATGGAGTTGACTGCGGGGACCCAACAACAGCTACAAAACCTACCCGGCGAAACCTTCTTGCCCTCTCGTCAGGGATGGCCTCCACAAAAAATATCCGTTGCTCTTGACACTTCCCAAAAAATCGTGGGGACAACAGCTACAGCAGCACATCTCGGTCGTGCGAGCGTGGACGCGCAAGCCTTCCCCAGGTGCGTTACCTGGAAGGACATCATGAAGTTCCGGGCGTCCTTGGCCTTGTCCGAAGGCAGGTACTTGAGCACCTTGGGGAGGGTGCGGAGGAGCTTGAGCATGCCCTCCTCGAACGAAGACCCGTCCTCCTATCGCGTCGTCGGCGAGAACAAAAATCCATCCACCACGCGTCATCCCGAACGAAAAGACAGCAAAAAAATCAGGCGAGAAGAGGGAGGTAAATAAGCCAGGTACGTTGCAACCACGCTCGCACCGTTGGCTTGGAGAAACACATCAGAACCGCCAAGGACATGGCAGAATCGACGACCAGTTACGCACGCCTTTCGGGTTGCGAACGAGGGATTTACCGATTCTCCGCACGCCCAGCCCAGGCTGTTTCGCCAACCTTCACAACCCGGACTACACTTTTAGCTCCTCGTGTCCGACCGCAACGTTCTGCGACGACGGGCGGCGGGTGCGAAAAACGTGGACACTGTCAGCACCCACGTCCTCCTTCCTCCCTTCCTTTCCCCGCTCCTCTCGCACCTTCTTCTTCTTCTTCATGAAGTCCGACACGACCGACTTGCTCTGTCCGAGGTTCTGCATGGTGAAGGACCCGACCTTGTTGAGGCGCATGACCTCGGGCATGGAAGGGAACACAACCACAGCGTCCAGCTGGTCCCGCAGGGGCTCCACCACCTTCTGCACCTCCTCGGCGAGCTCCTGGGAGAACGGAGCAGCAGCGATTGGTCGGAGTTTTTATCGTGAAGACGGACGCGGCTCACATACAAGATTAAGATTGATTGCTGTGGCAATTGAGATACTCGGGAGCTTGGTGTTGAGCCCGTGCCCCCGCATCATACACGATGGACTGTTGAGGGAACAAGATACCACTCTCTCGGAGCTGGGTGCTGAGCTTGTACCCGCGCCCACCAAAATCCGTCCCTGCTTGGGATTTCTTCCCGGCGTTATTCCACCTATCGCGAGACACCCCCAGGTGTATCTTGGAGAGACGTGATGGATGTTCTGTGTCGTGTACGTTCCATGCTGACGTCGCCACAAGCGTGGAGGTCGGACGGGGCGGGTGTTCGTGACGAACCGACATTTGCCTCCCGTGTGTCATGACGCGCAGGGTTGTTAGCCAAAAAAAAAAAACGTAACCCTGCACGCCGTGTCACCGGCCCACCCTTTCCAAGCCGACAAACCGCCGGCTGAGTGCCACTACGGGGATGTAAAAATGCACACTGAATACTCTCCCGTCGCTTGGAACAAGGCACCCAAAAAGACATCGATGAGGTTTATTCTTTTTTGTGGATTCGTACACTTGAGTGGCAGCGGCGGTAGTAGGCGTCATACACGGACGTCAGGTTGCCACGGGAGAACGCCACCTTGCGGAATGCAAGTATTCCTAGTCAAAACTGTGGTTGTCCGTCAAGAACCGCCCTCGACCTGAAACATGTCACACACTACTAACAACAAGCAAGTCTTTCCCCCCCCCCGTATACCAGCTACAATACTACCCGCTGATGGGCCTACGAATGTACAGCAAATACCACAGTCAATCCAGCAAAACACATTATTGACGACAAATGGCAAAACCTGAAGAATTATCCGCAACGCGCGCACCTGCACGAAGATGAGGGACCCGATGAAGATGTTGGAGGACTCCACGTCCTTCTTGAAGGCGGCCACGTTCTTGGGGTCGCGGAGCTCCTCGAGCAGGTAGCCCACGCACTCCACGCAAACGTCGTCGCGGCTCTCGTTGATGCGCTGGCACGCCTTCGTCAGGGAGCTCTGGTACTGGGACTCCAGCACCACGTACGTCACCTACCACATTTATTTACCGCAGGAGTGATCCGCACCGTCCAACGAGGGTATCGTACGAATTGGCCGTCGGATGCAACAAACGTGACTAATACATGACAGAGGGCGCGGCGTGAGGTGTGGGCGGTGGTTTGGAGCTGGAAGAGGGATGGATGGGGCATGTTTGGCGGCCGGGTCCGGTAACCAACCCGCCCACAAGTACATAGCAGGAGAGACCCGACACGCTCGCAGCACGACCGCTATTCTCAGGAGGTGTGGGTCGCATGCAAGCGCGTGGGCATAGGCGCGTCGGTCAGGAAAAGCGGTCAGTCCAGCCAACAACAACAACGACACGTGGGAGGGAGCTGCAATGCGTGCGTTCCAGCAATGGCAAGACTTGCTACTACTACTTCCAGCAAGAAGCTTGCGACAAATTCTTTGGTGCTCGGTGTTAAATGCCCAGGCGTAAGAATCCCGGCCAGATAAACGACGTGACCCGCCTTTTGCCCAGCAACACACACACACCCTCGCACTGCAAACAAGCGCGGCATTTGCGAGGTTCTTTGTCAAAAGGCACTACGGCAAGTGACCGCGGCATCGATGATGTCGCGAAAGTCCGGCAACAGGAGGCACGTTTTTTCGAGCTCCGGAGCGCTCAGTTCAACCTAGTGATGAGCTGGCAAACCTCGATGGACTGGAATCATGACATCAAGACGACTAAACTTTCTTGCCGAGAAAAAACATGGTTGGAGGATTTGAGCCTCTGTCGTACATGGGAATCCAGTAAGGTGTTTTGAGGCCGGCAACATGTCACACAACATCATGGACGTGCTCAGTCAATCGGGCAAATCGGAGCGCTTCTTTGGGAGGGTGTGGCGTTCAATACATGTAGGCGAAATCGCGGGTCATTCTTGAAGTCGCTATTTGGCAAGTAATCTACCTCTAACCGATAAATAACGTTTTAGTCGGCTGAGCGAAGGATCTCTATCGTAGTCCGCACGCGCCGGCGAACCACAGCAGTGATTCGATTCATCCAGTTTGTAGGAATACAGCAGACTCATTCGAGGTGCAATCAGTTACTATTACAGTGCACCGAGAGGCGTGCTGGAATGGGAGTCTAATGTAGCCCACACTCGCTATCCTTGCCTCTGACGCGATGCAAGTACAGCAGCATTGGGTCCGTGAAATAATCAATTAAACGGGAGGCGCGGAAGCCCCATCGGACATGTTGCAAACCCTGTCGATGCGAAAAACACGCCGCATTGGTGGCGACTATTTGCGACGACACTACAAACAGCCTGGACAACAACGTGTTACAAAGCAGCCAACACACTACCACAGCTCGGTGTAGAGAACTAATGTTGTATTCCAGTAGATAATACTGCTGCGCAGACGGTCTCAGCATGAGAACACGCGGGGAAGATTGTAACCCGACATTGGGACAAAAGCCTTAAACCCTTCGGAGTATGCGAACGGATAGTGTGCGTCGAGACACGTCATGTTGTGACATACTTGGCCCAACCAGCGACCTAGAGAACGAAAGCACACGGCCGCTTCATTTGTGCGATTCACCGAACCTGGCGAGGCGAAAAGCGCACACCCGAGACTCCGTTTTTGTGAAGGAGGTGTACGCTCGTGAAGAGCACGTGCAGATGGTATCGCAGCAGCAGGAGTTTGCTGAGGGAGCATTGTATTGTTGTACAAGAGTACACGAGAAAAATGGATTGGCAAATCATGAAAAAAGTAAATACTTTCCGTTCTTTGGGGTCCTTTGGTGTGTCTGACTCATCCTTACTTTGTATGTCTGTGCCTGGAATCTGCGTCGAGACGCTGCGCTGGGCAACCTCACGGACGGTTGGATAAAAAACGTGGTTTCGCTCATGCTCGTGGCAGTCGAGCAGCTGGTTGAGAAAATTGGGCGGACGATAATGATCGCAAAAAGGATGCTCTTCAAGAAACGTGCGCGCATGCAACAAGATCTGTTGGCACACATTTACACTGAAGAAATGAGCAGCGCTCTTTCGTCAAGACAACAAAAAAACACAAAAGAAAAAAAACATGACACAGCATTTGGGTGTGCTGGAAGAGATGAGTGTGCGATCACGACGACTCGCCACACCGCAGCGTAAGTGCCAACGGCTCTGGCTACGTGGCTCCAATCCGCAGCACTACCAACTTATCTCAAGATGCTCATCGCCGCAAACAAGCCCCAACACCAAAATGTCAGGGGGTGCGGTGTGTCATGCCGCAAAATTTCCAACGAGCTCTCGCTCGAAGCCGTCTGTCCCTCCTGAACCCAAAAACCAACTAACCTTGAAGTAGGCCTTGCCATCCCTCGTCTCGGGCAGCACCCGCCGGTCGTCCGGGTTGGACGTCGTGAACATACCCTTCTCGATCCCCGCCGAGACCATCTGCAGGCCGTGGGCCTCCACCGCCCTCGACCTCGAGCTCCTGCGCGGGGCGGCCACCTTGGCCCAGCTGTCCATGGCTCGCACGGTGGCGGCGCCGGGTGCCACCGAGGAGGTCGCGGCGGCGGCGGAGCCGAGGTTTGGTCTCACGGAAGGAACGAACGCCGTGGTGGACCCCATGGCCGCGCCAACGAGGACGGCCTGCAGCATCTTGGCCTGCTGGCCTCTGTTGCGCTGCCTCTTGCCCTGTCCCTTGGCCATTGTGGAATGTTTTTCGAGCGGCGTGTGAGGCCTGTACAGCAATAGCGAGCGGCAGACACGTGTGGGCGGATTGTCGGCGAAAGAGCGCCAAGGAGAGGAGAGAGAGCAACAGCGACGGCAAAGGGGGAGCACAGGCGCAGCAGTGGGAAGGAGTGCGAGGTCAGCGTGCGCGAGTCGGTGTTGTCTGCGAAGAGACGAGAGAGCTAAATAGCTGTTTGATCGATCGCACACATGCTACGGAAATCTCCCTCTCGCATTCTGCATTCAGATGGCGGCTCATACTGCTGACATGCATACGTTGGAGCTCCACCTCTACCGGTGTGTGCACATATGAGCGACCGCACTGCTGAACAACAGTTCAAATCTTTCCTCATGTTCGTCTCACCTTCCGATGATGTTTTGTAAGTGAGAGAGACGGCGCAAAAGGGCGACCGCGCTATATTCCCGCTCTACTAGTCTCTACTTTTCTCTCTCAGCTGAGGTGGCGTCGAAATCATGGAAGTGCTAGATTTTGTTTTTTCACGTGGTCTACCTCCAATAATGTTGAGGAGGATAGTTCGGAGATTTGCATCTGACGTCATTCATCGTAGATGATATCACATTCTACAAAGATAGCTACAAACGAGGTCGGCTGGCTTTGTTCCCGAGTCACGCGAGGTGTTTTGCACGTGCGGCGAGCAGCTGATTGCGTCGTGTCTTGGCACCAGGTCAATTTTGAGTTGATGTACTCATCCAGCCTGCTACAAGAGAGGTATACAGAGGTGGAGGCAGAGAGAGGGAAGTACGCTGGGAAAATGCATCATCATCAGCTTGCATGCACTGCTGTAGTGTGCACGTGCATCCACGGCAGCAATATGTGTAATAGTCTACTTGGTCACTCTTGCCTGTCTGCGCTTCTTGTCGAGACGTTCGAGACGAGATTTCTGGACGAGAGAGGGCGAGAAAATGCATGGCACTTGATTACTGCTGTAGCTCCTGTTGGTTGTGTCTTACGGCACAGATTCCCGGCGTCCTTGTTGGTGAACGTCGAACAAGAACGAAGAATGCTAACAGGAGTGACGGCGGAATATGGAGCCACCTGAGTGCCTGGTGCGACCTTTACTCCACGCTTACAGTGATTCCTGGTTTTTATCGTCCTCCTCATGTATATATTTGGGAGGAAACGCCAGAGCCACCCGAAATAACTGCTCGAAACCTATGTATGTTGATAAAGAATACTCACGAACAGCACCGCTGTGCGGAGTGGAACGTATCCCGCCGTCCGCAACACTATAGACTATGTAACCTCCGATCGAGCAGAGTTTCCCAACAAACTGACATCAGGTGTGTACATGCGACCGTATGTGACACAAGTGTGCCAGTATCTTTGGGAGGCGGTAAAGCCGGTGGTGTCGTGCGCACTGGCACAGACGCACAGGAAACAAGGCAAGTCAGCCGCCCTTCGAAAGTAGACTACCGCCGGTTGCATAAGATGCTAAGATACCACAACCGCTGGCACCGATTGTCAAAGCTCCAGTCTTTGGCAGAAAAAACCGTGATATGGTCGAAAATCGCGCTGGAGCCGCCTCGTTGAAAGCCTCCCGAAAACACATCATTTGATTGTGATATCCTCGTCGTCGTCGAGCTTTGAGAATCGGTCCAGGGGGTGTCGTATCTTACGCAACCTTCAGCAGCACTCGCTTGGGGCTGCATACGTAATGTTCACCAATCGATCGATCCAAGATCAATCGAATCTTGACTTCGAAAAGGGCGGACCGATAAAATAACATCCAACACCGAGGACGTGACAACCCGCCTGCGGTACGTCCGAGACTCGCATTTGTCAAGGAGAAAGGAAAAATGAGAACGAGGACCGATATGCGGGCATCCGGCTTGCAAAAGCCTTTCTCTCTTTACAATACTGAGGAAGACGAAATCGAAATCTACGCCATCTGAGGCAAGCCAGCTCCATTTTGAGGGAACCCCGGTCGTGCGGAGGAACCGCTCTCTTCTCCGAAGCTTGCTGCTGCTGCAATGTCCCACTTTGTTTTGATAGCCTGGCGTAGAGCAGAGGGGCATTGGAGGGCGCGCGCGCGGGGGGGTGAGTGCTAGCACGCTGTCATTGCGTAGCGAAACGACATGCAAGCAAAAACGTATCACACAGTAGTCATCACTCCGCGCTCGCACATACAGGGTGGCAACAAGCATCGGTACAAAGACAATTTACAAGATGGTTTTGGTTTTACAACGAAACCGATGATGGCAGCAAACTCCGCAACCGCAACAATTGCAGTTGAAACACCAACAGCGTAAAAATCTCGCCCTGATGGCACAACGAAAGACACTTGCAAAACGTTCTACGGACACATGCATCACCTTTTGTTCTAGGAACGTGTCAGTTACAGATGCCATGAGTTCCGGCGTGAACACGGCCGGGTCGCTGCCGAACGCAGCCGCCTGCCACGCAATCGCCAGCTTCGAGAGCTCACGCCCTGCAGGGAAGAGCCGAGACAGCACGGATGAAATTAGCTTACTCCCTTTCATGGAACTCAAACCACGCGGGATGCCGCGTTTGTGCCACACATGCGCGGCACCCGTTCATTTGCTGTCCATTCTGTACGCTGCCCCCCTTAAACGCCGTCTCGATTCCAAATGAGAGCTATGTAGATGGCGCAACGAAAACTAGAAGATAAAAGCATGCATCACCGCCGCCGTGTAGGTGGCGTTCGCGCCTTGTTGGTATCGTACACACGCATGGCAGAAGCTCGAATACAAAAGGTAGTATCGACTTCAAAATAGCCAGCCGCAGCTTGAAGAAGCAACAATCAAACAAGAGATGCACGCAAGAAGATAAAAGAAAGCACACTTGCCGGAAAAGCCTTTGGTGACCTCGGCGGCCTCCTTGATGTGCTCCTCTTCCACCCCCTCCAC